TTTTATAGTTAGTGTGTAGTTTTGAATGTTTACTCTTCATTTTAGCCAATTTTAGTGTTTTAAATCAAAACAATGAGGCAATTCTTTTAAAACAAGGAGAAGCACAGAGGTCTGCAGAGGCAGAACAAAAACTCAAAAAAAAACTATTTTATCTCTGGATGTATTTTTACATGAGAAGTGCAGTCCTACAGCAACTTTTCACCATTTTTCCTATTTTCCACATAGAGGAACTCATATTTTCCCCCAAACCAATATGTCAGCCTCCGTCTACAACATGGTCACATGACACTTTGAGAATTGCTTCAGCAAACCATTTTAAAGACAAAAGATTAAATTAATACAGCCCTTTAAATGATAATCTACTGAACCTTCTTACATATTTATGAAATAACAAATTACAATTCCATTTACAGAAAGTTCTGTGTTAAACTCTGCACCCATGAGCATAAAGAACACAGTAAGTATTAAATGATGGACCTGTCTGGTTGGTGATGAAGGAGGTGAGCGTCTCCAGACTTCTGTCTGTGTGGTTGAAGCGAGCCATGGGTTTGGCCCCCTGGAACAGCAGGATGTTAGGGACCGCCACGGTCCCAAACCTGGTGGAGAGACTGGTGAAAGGAACAGAAAAATGACAAATATCAACATCTTTTTACACAACGTGTTACACTGCTTAATTCTTCTTAGCATCGTTTGTGTGGAGCAGGAGCTCACGGTACAACGACGCCATCACAGTGTTTCAGAAATAACCTGCAGCATTGATGTTAGCATTCACCTGCTGTGCTGCGAGGCATCCAGAGCCAGGAAGTGCATGCTGGGAAAGACACGAGGCAGGGCGTTGAAGTGAGGCGCCAGGTTGGCTGAGAACTGGCACCAAGCTGTGAAGAAGAGGACCACGGAGCACTCTGTGCTGTTGGCGTTAAGGAACTCCATCAGGTCCTTAGGAGAAAGATGAAAGATTCATTATCAAAGAAATGATCACTGTTTATATTGTCAGGGGTCTGCAACCTGCGGCTCCGGGGCCACATGTGGCTCTTTGGTCCCTCTGCAGTGGCTCTTTGAAACTGTGACCAAATATAACAGATTTTATTTTACTTTTTGGTTTTTATACTCGCAACACTAATAAATTGTGTGCAAATATATGATCAGTACTACTAATACAAAAATACTAATACAAAAACACTAATATAAAAAGTAAAACATGTTAGCTCATGCTAGCCTGTTTTCAACGATAAACGATTCTCGATTCTACCTAAATAATAGGGGTGTAAGAAAATATCGATACACTGAAATATCGCGATATTTCATTTCCTGATACTGTATCGATATTCTAAAGCCCTGTATCGATTTTTTATTAAGGTTTAAAATGTCAACTTTCCTGCCAGCCGTTCATTTTTATGTTGTAGTTCAGCCTCTGACCACTAGTTGGCAGCAGTGAGCCAGACATTTGGCTCCTCTACCTCTTGAGCAAAGCAGAACAGCTAAACGTATCAAAAGTATGTCTATGTAATATTAGAATTTTCTGAGACAATGAATTTTGATTTTTCGTTTTGTTTTTTGAGTTTTTTCCGAGTAAGAGGTTTTTATTTAATAGTATTTTTGGACCCAAAAAAATCACAATATATCGCGTTGTTTACAGTATTGAAATATATCGGGATATATCGGGATATATCGGGATATATCGGGATATATTGGGATATATCGGGATATTTTGGGATATATCGGGATATATCGGGATATATCGGGATATATCGGGATATATCATATCGTGACCCCTCTGTCATGATATATATCGTATCGCTAAGTTCTTGCCACAGAGCCCTACTAAATAATCCAACTTCTTTCTATAATCTTTCTCTCAAATCCATCAGGGTTATCTTTAAACACCTTTAGTTCTACATAAAAATAAAAATTAGAAAAAAATAGTTCAGCTGAACTAGTATTTTTTAATTTTTTTATAAACTATAGTCAGTATTTTTCTTGTGCATGATTATGTTTTTCTTTTTCTTCAGTCCTGAAGTGTAAAAATAATAATAATGTCACCTCCACTGGCCGTAAAGTTTCACGAAAAGGCCTCAAAAAGGCCCACGGACCACCAGTTGATAATCACAGTTGTAGCTTATTTTGTGTCTCTGGACATATTTTATTAGTGAGTTGAGGCGCAGAAATGTCTCTTTTGATTGTAAASGYTGCAGACCCCTGTACTAGCTGGTCACTTTGTAAACTAAGCTGTTGTTAAACACTGAAGTCGTACTAATGTTTCCATGAATTTAGATGGTGACTAACTTGTAAAAATAATTAATTGCAATTTGATTTCTACAGAGGTTTGTCCAAAACCGTGCCATAAATGAAGTGATGTACAGAGAGCTTCACACCAMAGGATGCACAGACCCAGAGTTTAGCTCTAACACAGGTACCTGTGAAGCGTTGAGGACCTGCACTGTGAACTTTTCCACTCCTGTTGTGTTCCTCTTGTCACAGCTCACTTTGTAAGTCTTAGAGGTTTCTGTGGCGTTCTGCTCCTCAGCTGCTGCGTCTGCAGACACCACCTCCAGACCAACCTGAAGGTAAACAAACAATCACTGAATGTTGCAACAATAAAACTTAAAAACAGGAAATGTTAGAGCACACACACACACAGCAGAGAAACTGAAGACGTTATTGTGTTTACAACTGAACCTGCTGTGCTGTTTGTGACTCCTGCTCTTCTACAGGTGAGTCACACYGAGCACTGCTCTCATCACAAGGAGGCGAGAAGCTGGCCTGGATCTCCTTCCCGTTCTTTGGAAACAGATGTGCAACCTCAGACGGATGAATCGTAGTTTCTGTCCCCATCACAGCATCTGCGATCTCCGCTCGTTTGAACTGCCTTTTAGGCAGAGAGTCCAGGTCTCCCAGCTCCACGAACCTGGGCTTGTTCTCCAAGTCAGACACCGTGTCCTCCGCTGACTCGTCATTATCTGACCACACACAAAATAAATACAAATTTAAAGAAAGAAAGAAATGTGCACACACACACAGCTTAATAAATCAAACACACATTTTATGACACTAACAAACAATAAATACAAAACTAAAGAATAATAATATAATTAACTATAATTATCTTAGCTAGCTTGTAGTAATGTACTGGATAAATATTAAACATTACGCCACGCAGAGTAAAACACAATAAACTCAACTGTGCATTAGGTTGATCATAATTTAGCTACAAAGCTAATAGCCAACATTGTCCGTTCATTTCCTACCTTCTGCTGTCACACACAGAGCAGAAAGTAGCAAAATAAATAATAAAATAAACGATACGTGAAGTATTTCACTAAATCTTAACATTTTCTCCAAAAATACACAAAAACGACAGAAATACTCAAAATGTCACGCCATGTTTTGACGTGTTGTACCGGAACAAAAAACTATAGGTACGGGGGAAGATAATAAATGATACACCAACAGTTAGCTTCCGGTGTGGACAAGTCGCGGCTGATGTTAGCTCTTGCAGCACCAAAACGGATCAGCAGAACTATATTCATCATTTTCTACATAAAAGAAACATAAGTAAGTAAAGAAATCCGGACTGTTTGAAATGCAACTCGCAAAACAAACTGTGCGTTAGCATTTACATTAGCATCAACATAAAACTGCTAGCTAACACTTGCTAATTGTTTTTTTATTTTTATTTTATTTTAACCTTGTGGAAGCAGAATTAAACTCGAAGTGGTTTAAATATCCCGCTGTTCATCTCCAYGAACCAGAGAAACACTGGAATGGCAGTGGACGGGGCTGGACGAGATTTCTCGGCAGCCATCTTGAAAGGTTCTTGTGCGTCACTAAATGTAGAAGCACTCAGAAAAAACATTCTTTAAGCATAATTTAGAAATATAATTCAATTATATTCTGTAATGAGCCTTCAAACAAGCMTGGTCTGCATGAATAGAGGCAAATACTGGACTAGTGTATAATTATAAACAAAGTACAAAACTACATTTTAGCTGTTTTTATGTCTGTTTGGTCAAAAAAACAAAGCTTTACTTAGTGTGTGGTTCATTCCAGACTTACAAAGAGGAAATAAACTTGGAGAAAGTGAATAGCAGATCAAATACATAATTCAAATTAACATGTAGTATAAAACATAAATATTACCTCCGTCACATCGGTGTTTGTACAACAGAATATGCATGTATAAGTCTTAATCTGCACATTTGAACCTAAAGTCACAGCAGTGAAGCCAGTTCATTCTGTTCAATAACTAAAGTGATCTGTGCGTGAATGTTAATATTTTCCCACAATGTGTTTCAGTGTTTCCTGCACGTGTTCAACAGCTGCTGCCGATTAAAGCAGCAGACTGTGGGTCTGCTGTGGACCAGCAGAACCCGGGGTCCCTCACCATAAAACAGGAAGAGGAAGAGTGCACCATCGACCCTCACGGTGACATGACATGCCAAGTAGAAGAAAAGCCTTCAAGCTGTTCGGATAAGAAGAAATGTGTTAAAGTGAAGAAAAATAAGAAGAAAGATGGAAAGATCCAGATAAAACCGAAACTCTTTCAATGTGAAGACTGTGGCAAAACAAGTCTAAACAAACACATGAGAGTCCACAGTGAACAGAAACCATTTACCTGTGATGTTTGTGGACAAACGTTTGGCCAAAAGGCCCATTTAAACACACACATGAGGATCCACACAGGAGAAAAGCCATTTCCCTGTGACGTTTGTAAAAAAAGATTTAGCCATAAGACAACTTCAGAYGCACACATGAGGATCCACACCGGAGACAAACCCTTCCCCTGTACCGTGTGTGGACAAACGTTTAGCCATAGGACGAATTTAAACGCACACGTGAGGATCCACACAGGAGACAAGCCGTTTTCATGTGACGTTTGCCAACAAAGCTTTAGYCAAAAGGCACATTTAAACACACACACGAGGATCCACACAGGGGACAAGCCGTTTTCATGTGACGTTTGTGGACAAAAGTTTAAGCAAAAGGCGTATTTAAGCTCACACACGCGAGTGCACACCGGAGACAAACCGTTCCCCTGTGATGTTTGTGGTCAAAAGTTCAGACAAAAGTCTAATTTAAACAAACACGCAAGAATCCACAAACAAAAAAACAAAACATCTACTGCGTGTTCCTAATTACTACACACTTATTTATTTTTTATGTCTGAACAGAACGGAACACCCTTCTGYCCTATAAGAYCTGTTGAAAACACTGACTCCTTTAAAAAACTACTAAAACACACCTCTTCACTCAAACATTACACTGGATACATTCAACACCTCACGACTTGAGTTTATAAACTCTGACTAACAATCATGTTTGTCTGGTCTAACCATCCCTCCACCTATAAGKSTGASAGATAAACTGATCTGCTTTTTGTTTTAAGTATTGAATGTRTACTTTGTACAGTTAATGTTATTTTTGCTTTCTCTTTAATAGTGARTGTACAGCACCTTGTGAAATCCTTTTCTATGAAAGGAGCTAAATAAACATTAATGTCAGTTTCCATCACTGAAACATCATCAGACAGTGGTCTGTGACCCACAACAGGATGCTGACGGAGGTCCTTCTCCCCGTTCCTTAACTTCAGAGGAATTGTTCTCATGGAAATGGAAGAAACACTGCCTGAGCAAAATAACTAAAGGTCACACACTAATGTTTACTTGGACTGCCTTTAGCTCTGATTACAGCACCATTGTTTGGAAGCTTCTCAGATGTCACCAGATTGGTTTCATCCAGTGTTGAACTCATTTCTCACTAAGATCTTGCATTGATGATGGTACAGTCTGACCGCTGCACAAAGCCTTCTGCAGCTTCAATTTCAGTAATAAATTTACAAATATATGAATATATGACTGCCTGATAACACCTTAACTCCTCATGATGATCATCAGTTTATCAGTAAATTATTATTGATAAGTGATCAGAACTCTGCAGCAGCTGAGTCCAGTTCTGTTTGAGTCACTTTGAGCTCTTCTGACTGAGAGGGTGGATACTTGTCTCTTTGTCTGTGTCCCTGATGAGACTGGAGACCTGTCCAGGTGTCTCTGGTGAACTAGAGACCTGTCCAGGTGTCTCTGGTGAGCTGGAGACCTGTCCAGGTGTCTCTGGTGAACTGGAGACCTGTCCGGGTGTCTCTGGTGAACTGGAGACCTGTCCAGGTGTCTCAGGTGAACTGGAGACCTATCCAGGTCTCTGGTGAACTGGAGATCTGTCCAGGTGTCTCTGGTGAACTGGAGACCTGTCCAGGTGTCTGGTGAACTGGAGATCTGTCCAGGTGTCTCTGGTGAACTGGAGATCTGTCCAGGTGTCTGGTGAACTGGAGATCTGTCCAGGTGTCTCTGGTGAACTGGAGATC